AGAGAGAGGGAAAGACTACTTTTGAGGAAGGCCAAGGACGTTTTTAACATTCTGACATTATTCATGAAAGAATGATTGACAAATTAGTATTTTTTATTTAAGTTACTGACAAATACTGCACACATGATTGGAATGAGTGACAGAACTGTACTATCATGGGCAACGCAATACTAACCGGTTTCCATTTGTACAGTTGCCTCCGTCGATACAACTGAATGAATTAGTGATTCAGGAGGTCGCCGAACGAATGTTGCCCTAGCACGGCTTAGCCCTAAAACAAAGTCTATGACCATGTACGAGAATTTGAACAGTCACAGGGAGAAACGAACGAGCAGTAGACGATTGCAAATATTTGGTTACGAGAATCTGGAGCGCATCAGTAGATCCAGATGGAATGAGTATGTAGTAACTGCTGCTGAACGGATTGCACTGATGTTGGTTTAGGAGGATAGTTGTACCAAATAGGTTAGCTGGGGATTTCGCATTAGACTGCTATTCTAAACCTTTTTTCTAGTATCAAGCACACCTCACCAAAATGGGAACAGATAATGGGACAAACTTAAAATCGCTAGCTATGGACAGAAATGGAAGATGAGGTAATTATGTGTTGTAATTTTGGGAAAATTAAAATAGATCCTTCATATTAGTGCATTTTTCACATTAATCTTCTCCAACTTTCCCAAAAATTTCAATTTTTTCAAGGTACTAAAAAGGACGTTCAAAACTTCTTGTTTTTTTTTAAATTAAAAGTAGCTACCCATTCAGTGATAGATGTAAATTTTTGCCTATTCAACGTGTGCGTGCATATGGTAATCGTTTAGTATAAAATTTTCTCATTCTTTTTCAAATCCATCGTGACAATATTTATTCACGAAATTATTCCTATAAACCGTTTGTTTGTGAGTTTCTTCTACAGGTAATCTGGATACAGAACCGATTGTCCATAAACAAGGTTAGCAAAACAAGGAGGAGTAATATCATGACTTAGATTTCTACATGATGCCTGCAGAAATGAAGAATTTCAATCAATTCAAATAACTTTTCAGCTCAAAATTATCTAATTTTTCCTAAGCTGTTATCTTTCGGGAAACTTTAGAAAAGTAGAAAACTATTACCTTTATTAATACATTTCATATTCAAACTAAACATATCTGAAATTTCATGTTTTAAAATTCAGGTATGCGCGCGTAAAGAAACAAAACAAAAGAGCAATTTT